CCCTGCCCGTCGGTGCCCAGCTGCGGGGGCTCCCCCCGCTTCCTAACAATCAACTCCTTTCAAAACTCAACTTTCCGCCGCAGTTAGGCAAGAAACCGATCGTTTATAGCCTCAGGTGACATACCCCCTTTCCGCTTTTTTGAGCCTTGTGTTGCTGTTTGCTGAACGCAGTGACGCACCGTTAGCCTGGCTTGTCGCTTGGAGGCGTGTGTGTGAATCGTCCCTGTGTCCAAAAATTAATCCATCGGGTATAGGTGTTACATGCTTCAAAAGCATTTTTGAAACGGGAATTTTTGGACCTCCTCGTGCTGTCCTTCCTTGCTCCTGCTTTGGTTCTAGTAGGGATTTTTCATTTTGGCACTAAAATAAAGCTGTTTGTCTGTTCTGTAGCCTTTGAGTCCGTTGTCCGACTGCACATCAAGATGGCAAAGCAAAAGCACAAGAATTCAAATGCACTGGAAGAAGAGGAGGTGGAGGAAGATGATAAAGAAGAGATGACAGACTTGAACACAATCTGCTCTGAAAGCACTTTTGAAACTGAAAACCTAGAGGTGCTTGGGGGTGGTGGACGGCTGACCCCAGAGGGTGAAAGCAGCAGGCTCCTCCCGTCTGAAAAAAGCTGGGTGGAACTGGATGGCTGCCATACTGTGACCTGCACATTGACAGTCTCGCTGGCTGTCCCTGCTCTGCCTTCAGGTGAGTACCTGACGCGGGTTTTCCTAAGAACCCTTCTTTCATTACTTCATAAATTCATGTGGCGGAGTCCTGAATGGTTTAAGGAGATAATGTTAGAAAAGATGTTAGTTGATTTGAATTTTCCTGGGTAGATTGCTCAAGAAAATAGCAGTGGGACATGGGAGCCTTTTATCATTGGATGGTTGTCACTAGTGACTGAAAACCTTTCCTGACCGCTGACGACTCAGTAGTCACAGTTACTCAAGTTGCTGATCTTAGCTGGTCCTTATTAATCGGCCACTGCCTAATAATGAAACTACAGGTGTTTTTTGGCGTATATACTCAACTTGGCAAATTATGATTTTGGGTAGTTTAAAGGTGATATTGTCATTTTAGGAGAAGGTAGCAGCTGTTCAACAGATGGGGTATGATTCTCCTGTGGGGTAGGGGTGTTTGGGTGTAGCAGGAGCAGATACATTCAGCCTTCCCCTGAGCAGTGCGGAACTCTGCTTTATGGAAGTTCCCTGGGTAACAGGACATACGTGCCTTGGGAATTGCAATCACTGGACATCATGCTGCAGGAAGAGAGGATGAAGGGGGAAGTTCCGGGAACTTTATGGACCATTATGGTAGTTAAACCTGGGTAAGAATTGCAGGGTTGGGCACTGGGATGAGAGTTTCACGTTCAGCAGTCATCTGTGTTCAGTCAATCATTTTTCTGCTGTCACACTGGAATGCCTGTTACCATTTGGTCATTGCAGAGAGCATTAATTCACCCTAAAAGTATCATCTTTGATAACTTTTAATGCTTCCAAATAATGCTAATATTCTCTCTAGGACAAAAGCAGAAGAAATCCAATCCACGTGATATGCAAGGAAAGAGAATTCAAGTTGATGAATCGGGAGCTATTCCAAGAATGCACCGTTGCTATCACATTGAGTACTTCCTTCTACCAGATGACCTCGTACCTAGAAAACTGGATTTGGTGGTGTTTGGGGTGGTTGCAAAGTTATTTACAGAATCTGATTCCAAGGTGAAAGATAATAAAACTAAGTAATCCAAAATGTCATACATAGAAGGTGGCAGAATGTTTTCAGATATGGAAGGAGGTAATTGCATATTGTTTTAACAGCTGCTTAGGCCTTATCTGCACACACAGATACACAACAAATATCGAGGATAGAACTTGACTCTTCTAGTCCAGATCAGCAGTAACTTCTTAACATTTATAGTAAGAGGCTGGTGGATTTCAGAGTATTTTACTTTTATTTTCCTCTGGATTATCAGTTTACTTGGGATTATAGCTTTTATCTTTCAAGTACCAAGATAATAATATAATAATTTGAAGGCAACTCTCCATTTTATTAACAATGAAGAAAAAAATGAAATTTATGCCTCTGATCTTTGTTGAGGAAAAAAAGATTTTTAAGGTACTTGAAGAATTTTGCAAATTTTGTTTTGTTTAGACGTGTCTAATTGAATTGTGCGCATTCAAATCCAGGAACCTAAAAGTCGGATATATTGTTTTGAATATACCTTGGTTTGCTAAGAAATTATTTGTAAAAAGTCGATGCTAAAATCTTTTTTTTTTT